ATTGTACCATTGCCTGTAAATAATGTCTTTTTCATTGTACCATTGTCTGTAAATCATGTTTTTTTATTGTACCATTGTCTGTAAATAATGTTTTTTTTATTGTACCATTGCCTGTAAATTATGTCTTTTTTATTGTACCATTGTAAGTAAATAATGTCTTTTTCATTGTACCGTTGTCTGTAAATAATGTCTTTTTCATTGTACCGTTGTCTGTAAATGATGTCTATTTTATTGTACCATTGTCTGTAAATAATGTTTTTTTGATTGTACCATTGTCTGTAAATGATGTCTTTTTCATTGTACCATTGCCTGTAAATGATGTCTTTTTCATTGTACCGTTGTCTGTAAATAATGTCTTTTTCATTGTACCGTTGTCTGTAAATGATGTCTATTTTATTGTACCATTGTCTGTAAATAATGTTTTTTTTATTGTACCATTGTCTGTAAATGATATCTTTTTCATTGTACCATTGCCTGTAAATGATGTCTTTTTCATTGTACTGTTGTCTGTAAATGATATCTTTTTTATTGTACCATTGTCTGTAAATGATGTCTGTAATGTACTTTTGTCAGTTTGATTGTACAATTCTCAGTAAACAATGTCAGTTTGATTGTACCAGAGGGGTACACGAGGTACGTGATCCACCCCGAAGCATAAAAGAATTCACTTTCTACTCGCGGTTGTGTAAAACTATTGTATGACATATATTATGGATCAAATGAGCAATAGCTGGTTATGTTTTCATAATTCCCTTTAAACTTTGAACACACAACATGAACACTAATACAAGTATAATGATGATAACAGGTACTGACCTTGCCCACTCACAGCGATAATAAATGCAACAGTGTATAACATCAGAGGGGAACTTGACATTCTGCCTCTGTGAAAGATAATCATTGTTAATGAGACAAGAGAACTTTTTAAACAAGGTTTTACAACATCACTGATCTGCAGCTGTTGAACAAACAAACAAACATGTTAGTTGTTCTCAGAGCGACAGGACATGCGTGTGCGTGTGTTTTCGTTCGTGAGATCATGTATGTGTTCATGTGTGTATTCGTGTGTGTTCTGATTTCGTGTGTTCTGATTTCCTGTGTGTGTGTGTGTGTGTGTGTGTGTGTGTGTGTGTGTGTGTGTGTGTGTGTGTATGTGTGTGTGTGCGTGCGTGCGTGTTTGTGTTTGTGTTCGTTCGTGAATTCATGTATGTATTCGTGTGTATTCCTGAGTTCGTTTGTGTGTGTATGTGTGTGTGTGTGTTTGTGTTTGTGTTCGTTCGTGAATTCGTGTGTGTATTCGTGTGTATTCCTGAGTTCGTTTGTGTGTGTTTCTGTGTTCTTGTGTGTGTGTTCCTGAGTTCGTCTGTGTGTTTCTGTGTTCGTATGTATGTATGTGTGCGTGTGGGTTTGTGTTCGTTCGTGAGATCATGTATGTGTTCGTGTGTGTATTCGTGTGTGTGTGTTCCTGAGTTCGTGTGTGTGTGTGTGTGTTTGTGTGTGTCTGTGTCTGTGTCTGTGTCTGTGTGTGTCTTTGTTTGTGTCTGTGTCTGTGTTAGTTAGCATTATTCCGGCTTCAGATACTGCCCAGACAAACCAGAGGTTGTTATTCTGAGCAACGTTCCACGCCTTATGGCATAAAAATCAATTACTAGTTTCGTACATAAACAAGTTTTATTTCAAAAGTGTAATTACATGACTGGACATGCCCATCTAACGCTGAAAAAAGTGAGTATCAACAAGATGTACATATTTTTATTGGTATGATAGTTAATGCGGTCAAAGGTATAACTACAACAACTTTACACACTTGATACACACGGGCGCACACGCGAACACCCACGCGAAATGGGGGTGGGGGCTGCTTGTACTAGTTCGGATAATATATGAATACCCCACTCAGACACAGTATGCTGTCTCCGAGCCGACTGGTCCTTGTTTTAGCCCCTTAATGACAGCACCAGACAGGGTAATAACAAGTATAATCTTTTAACGTCTTTTTGGTATGACGCGGCCGGGGATTGAACCCCGGACATTCCGGCCTCCAGGCGGTCACTCTACCACAAAAGCACAGAGGCGGTCCAAGGAAAGTAAAACAGAGACGATTACGTATGCCTACATGAACTAAATGCATTAAATGCCAACACCAAAGAATAAAAGTTGACAAAACAAAATTACATGCACACAAACCCACCCCCATATACACACACTAAGATACTTGAAATAACGAGAAAATAAATGAAATTAAGAAAATCTAATCGAAGTAACAAAAAACCGTCGAAATTTCAGGAAAATTAACAAATAATTGAAATAACGAGAAATTTCGATGTAAAAACGATATACGCTACCAAAGTGTCACCATCGGGCTTTCGTAGAATGCAGACAGAAAGTCAAGCTAATTTATATTTGAACTCTTCGACAGAAAAATAGAAATTAGTGCAATACATAGGGAAAAGCGTGATTTCAAGTTTGGACGACCTTTCGTCAAACTGCGCAAGAGTTAAATGTTGAACGTTCTACCGCCTAACACATTCAGCTGAAGAATGCTGAACCTGTTTAAAGAATCTGGAGAAACACCTTTAAGCAGATCAATTTGAGACAAGCTCTCACAGGTACAGGCCGCACGTTCTTATCGTGGGAAACGCTGCTTTTCCCAGTATTAAAGAAGTTGTTATCCATAAAAATTGTGTCTATCTTGTCATCCGTCAACTTCTAAGTAATGCCTATCAAACAATTTATGTTCTTATCTGTTTTCAATGTTGTACACATACAACGATGAATTATGTTGCAAATTACTGTTCTATTCTATTATTAGGTTCAGGTAAAAGTGTCACAGATTTCCTTCTGCAACACGTGATTCAAGTTAAAGTTACAACTCCTTGTCTATCGGCTATCGAGTCATAATTTACCATCGTGAACTGTGACAAGTTACTGAGGCAGTTGTTCCATTATCAAAATAAATACCTAAGATACCAAAAATCAGCATCTAAATGAGGCATAGCTGACAGAAACGGCCTCCGTCAGGATAAGTTACGGATAAATATGCAAAGGGTCAAGTAGGTACTACTTCGGTATTTACAAAAAACCCGTGGCAACTCCTTGTTTATCGGTTTTCTACGGAAGCGTAATAGGGTCACAGTGAAATTTCTTTTGTCTATGTATTTCATACGTAGGACTTATTATCTCCTACGTAGGACTAACTATCTCTTACGTAGGACTTAGTATGGCCTTGAATCACTATATCCTACGTAGGACTTAATATCTCCTACGTAGGAGATACTAAGTCCTACGTAGGATATAGTAAGTCCTTTGAGGAGATATTAAATCCTACGTAGGAGATAGGGATTCTAGGCCATACTAAGTCCTACGTAGGAGAGAGTAAGTCCTACGTAGGAGATACTAAGTCCTACGTAGGAGATAGTAAGTCCTTTGAAGAGATATTAAATCCTACGTAGGAGATAGGGATTCTAGGCCATACTAAGTCCTACGTAGGAGATAATAAGTCCTACGTAGGATATAGTAAGTCCTACGTAGGAGATAGTAAGTCCTACGTAGGAGATAGTAAGTCCTACGTAGGATATACTAAGTCCTACGTAGGAGATAGTAAGTCCTATGTAGGAGATACTAAGTCGAAACAGGTGTAGCTGACTCCTTTTACAAGAGTAGACAACATTGGCGATAGCGACAACAACAAGACATGGATGTTTACCAGTACTATTTACACAACTTGGATAAATGGCATAATACATACAAAATAATCACTATTTATTTTTAACATTTCCTTTTAGTGTAACTCATCCCACGTGTTACATGCCGACAAACAATTTGATTTGATCTGCATAAACACAAATCTTAAAGCTTTCACAAAAGCGTATAAACATGAACGGGTCATTGACGTATCAGCAAGTTCAGGTACACGAACAGTACACACAATACACAGGTATTTAACACAGATATATTCTCATATTGACTTTTGTTCGAGGTCATATCAGCCGAGGCCTGCACCCGTGGCTGGGCAGAGAACTCTGTATAGCTGTGATGTGGAGCTGGGGCGGGCTGGCATGTCAGTGGCGTGTACGCGGCCTCGTCAATGAGAGATGGTGCACCAGCATCTGAATCAAATAGATACCTTGTGTTTCTATGGCAACAAAGTAATAGCACCACCTAATTAAAACATTGATATAGATTCTATAAAAGACATAAAACGTCTATGTAAAGACAAACTGTGTTATTGAAAATGGTTTAAATGGTATAAATGTCGGCCAACGTATGTGCATATTGCTAGTTTTATTACATATATAATACAGAAGACAGGAGCCGCGGGGAAGTGAGTGAGTGAGTGAGTGAGCGAGTGAGTGAGTGAGTGAGTGAGTAATCTAGTGAGTGAGTGAGTGAGTGAGTGAGAGAGTGAGTGAGTATAATCTACAAGCTACAATCATAATGGTGAAAATTGGTGCGAATCCTGTCCAACTGGCTGCATCTGCCACAAACACATGCAAAGGCTAGTCAATTAACACTAACCACCAACAGCAAAAAACAAAAACCTGATCATGAAACCAGTTGAATACCTGCATCGGAATCTGTAATGTTGGTTTAAGTGTGTCCATTGAGAATCATACTGGGCTCCACGACTGAAACATATTACACAAATCCATATATATCGACAGAGGCGTATATGGGAATGTATGTGGCATGTAGCGCTATTACTTAGTGTTAAATAGACTCGCTGTTGGGTTTAATGTACTAATATTTTCTTTTACTATAGAACTAGGATCTGTAGATGTAGAATAAAAGCTTGGAAGAGCAAATTGAGATAGAATCAAAATCCATTTGAAAAAGTTAGAAGACTGGTTTAGGATTATACATGAGATTATGATCAAATATATAAAGACTCGTTGATAAAAGTTGAAAAAAACTTCCGATATTTGTAACTTTGATTAAATCGTCTTGTAATTTTTTATCTCTGAAGACACGAGTGTGAGATTCTCTGTACACCACCTTACCAGGAGTTAGGTATTGGCTGTCCTCGGATTCTTTATTGCTGAGGGAGCAGTCCGTGTTAGGTGCATTGTCGGCAACTACGAGAACCACAGAGACAGAGACTCAGTCATGTAGTTTATATATTGACAGAGGCAGATGTGGAAATGTATGTGGCATGTAGCGATATTACTTAGTGTTGAATAGACTCGCTCTTGGGTTTAACGTACTAATATTTCCTTTAACTATAGAACTAGGACCTGTAGATGTGTTTTTCTCTAATTTCTGAGATTCCTAACGGCAATGACTATCACAATACGTTTAAGGAAAATAATAGCGTTGAAGAGCAAATTGAGATAGATTCAAAATCCAATTGAAATATATGCATAAAATGTTGATGCTCACACCAGCTGCACTACAAACATTTGTTATATTTGATCTCTGAAGACACGAGTTTGAGATTCTCTGTACACCACCTTACCAAGAGTTAGGTTTTGGCTGTCCTCGGATTCTTTATTGCTGAGGGAGCAGTCCGTGTCAGGTGCATTGTCGGCAACTACTAGAACCACAGAGACAGAGACTCAGTCATGTAGTTCATACCACATATAAACACATTAAACACTAACGGAAAGTAATAGCGTTGAAGAGCAAATTGAGATGGAATCCAAATCCAAATGAAATATATGTATAAATGTTGATGCTCACTCCAACTGCACTACAAATATTTGTTGTCCACTGTAGCTATATGTACATCGCTAATCTCCCTGTTTCAGAAGCTGGTCAGCTGAACCTTTAGCTTTCAAGATACTTATTATTATTCTTTACAAATTGAAAAATTTAGAAAAATGATTTAGGATTATACATCAAATTATGATCAAATACATCAAGACAAATAAAAGACTTGATAAAAGTTAAAAAAAGCTTCCTATAACTTTTGTTAAATCGTCTTGTTATATTTGATTTCTGAAGTCACGAGTGTGAGATTCTCTGTACACCACCTTACCAGGAGTTAGGTATTGGCTGTCCTCGGATTCTTTATTGCTGAGGGAGCAGTCCGTGTCAGGTGCATTGTCGACAACTACTACAACCACAGAGACAGAGACTCAGTCATGTAGTTCATACCACATATAAACACATTCAACACTAACGGAAAATTGTAAGGAAATCAAGAAACCATTTTAATACCTGCAGTTTCTTTCCTATGGGGTGTCGCATCGGATAATGCAATGTAGGAGTAAGCGTGTTCATCAACAACCACACTGTGCGTCATAACTGAAACACATATTACATATTTTCATTTCAGCCCCTTCATTATATATATTTTGCCGAGGGGCAAACGAAACTATAGCTCTCAGTTAATTTTATCATTAGTTTGATCTTCAAATGAAATTTCCGTAACGGCACTCAGAAACTGTACATAATCGAGTTTTGGCGAAACAAACCAGTGATTGATACTATGAGTAACATTCTTCGCGTGACACCTGACAGTTGCATATATAGAGGGTAATTTACTTCCTTAAAAATCGGGCTTCAGTGATTGGTTGTTGTTTTGTTGTTTAACGCCGCACTCAGCAATATTCCAGCTTTATGACGGCAGTCTGTAAAATAATCGAGTCTTGACCAGACAATCCAGTGATTGACATCATGAGCATCGATCCACACAATTGGGATCGATGACATGTGTCAACCAAGTCAGCGAGCCTGACCACCCGATCCCGTTAGTCGCCATTTACGACATGCATATTCGCCTTTTACGGCAAGCATGGGTTGCTGAAGACGGGTCGGGCTTTAGTGAGATGTCATTCATACACCACAAATGATACGTTTCTGTCAAAATATTCCATTAATTGCCATAGTCCTTTCAAAAGCATGAAAAGCGAAATAATCATTAATTTGACCGTGTGTGCGTTCGTTACATACCGCCGCACCAAATAATATTCCAGCTATGTAACAGCGGCATGTATATAATCGAGTGACTGATATTGCGATACACGCCGTCGGGGTCAATGAGTCCGATCAATTAAATCGCCTCTCACGACCAACATTTGGTCTCCCATTGAGCTTGAGATCCTCTTGAATTGATGTTGTAATCATCATACCATTTCCAGGGTCACCTCTTCCCTGGTCTTCTGGACCTTCTGGACGCGTCCTAGAAATACCCATAAGCTATCATATACATGCATTATTTGTCAAGAAAAAAAATTCCACCGTACCATATATGTATATCACTGTATACAATGTATGACGTTAATGTTATCGATGATGAAAAGATCTTTATACCATTCATCAATGGAGAATACCTTATCCCAACAGAGATATAACATGCAGATGTTAAAGCACGTTGGTTTGACGACAATGTAACCGAACAATCTTATACAGTGAGTGAGATAACGTCGCTTTGTCTGAGACTTCAACCCACGCGCACAGGCATGACACTGACAAACTTAGAAAGATAAGCTTTGCGATTCTAGATCCGAAACTACGATCGTAGGCTTCTGGCACTCCAAAGAGACGTAACTCTACACTGCGAATTAGGCGACCTCTGAAGCCTAGTAGGGGCGGTCTTGTAGCCTAGTGGTTAAATTGTTCGCTCGTTACGCCGGAGACCCGGGTTCAATTCGCGACATGGGTACAATGTGTGAAGCCAATTTCTTGTGTCCCCCGCCCTGATATTGCTGGAATATTGCTAAAACTCACTCACTCACTGCATCCTAATACATTAATATCAAAACAGATACGTTTCGGCAATCAAAGAGGTGGAATGGGACAGTTCGAATCGTACACAGAGCTTGACACTTTACTGGCAATAAATCTTTTTAGAATCTATAATTCCAAAATTGGAAATACACATATAAATGATGTGACTTGAACTCGATTTGTTTTACTGACAAGGAGAACACATTGGAGAACATAATAAAATGAGGTCATGGAAGGTTTATAATGTCAGTGATTCATCCAAAGTGAACTTACATCTCTTTACCAATGTCCCGTCTACCTGTAACATAACGGTATGATTAGCATTAGTTAGTAACATAAGAGTATTGATGTAAGTACCTGCCACTGCTGATTTAGGAATACTTGACATTGAACCTGATAAATATGTTCCCCTGCTTTCAATAACAATATTCCGTGCCTTATTAGTTATCACTTTTATAACAGTTATACCATGGGCATACACAGCGTGTAATTTGGGGCCCGCCAATAGATATTCTGGGAAGCGGATATCGCGGATGCTGGCATTTGTTTTAATGAAAACATACTTTGTTCCAAAAGAGGCTGAAAGTAATAATGGGGCCCCAGGTTTTATACATGCAAGAAATTGGTTGCAAATTAAGCAGAAAATCTTCAGAACGTTTGTAATCAGACACCTTCTTACCTTATACATAGAGCTATTGATTCTGTTGTACACACATGGATGAAAGTGTTGAAATCGTCTTTACAGAAGCTATTGCAAATGCAGGGAATGTAATGAAAAGGAAAGTAACCCCCAACAGAGAAAATAAACAGTGGTTTGACTGGGAATGTGGGTTGTTTAAGATGGGAAGAAACCATTTCAGGAAAATTAAGGATAAAGATTCTCTTGATAAGCTGATTCGAATAACAAGTATAAAGCTATTTTGAGAGAAATCAAACAAACTTTTATGAATGGAACAGAAAACACTAGATGTGAGTATCAGTTCATCAACACAATTTTGACCTAAAAGTAACATAGCCCTTTTGGAGTGATTTAATTGTTTCAAAAATCATTCTTTTCGGTCCTGATTCCACAGAGAACCTGCATTTGAACTTTTTTGATAAGGAATACACATGTTAGATTCCCCAATCTCAAAGGAAGAAATTAAATCCAGTATTCAAACTCCTGGAATTGATGGACTAATAGCGGAATTATTTAAATACTCTCTTGACAACATCCTCCCGTATTTGGAAATATTATTTAATGGTTACCTCAGTGACAGATGTTGAAAATTATGGGGTGATTACTCTCATCAGTATATTCAGTAAGATATGTTTTAGAATTATAAGAAAGTGCTTGGTATTGTGTTCGAGTAAACTTGTTAATATTGAGGAAGAACAAAGGAAGATGATGAATATTTCTTCAAACTTATGGTTCGGAAATATGGGGTTTGCAGAGGTTAAAGAAATTAAATCTCTATATTTGTACGCTTGTGTAAAAGATCACTTGGAGTTAAAGATAATACTTGTTATATATATCTTAAACTATTGGTTAACACTATTGAAAATGCCAGAAAGTTGATCATGCAAAAGTGTTATAATGTGATGTTATTGTATGACACGAGTTTAAAATGAGGCATTCAATGTAAAATGTCTTCTGTATAAATGTTATCAATGTTTCTTAGAGAATCATGTTATGTCTATATCGTCAATAAGACAGACACTTTCTGTTCCGTACTTTCAAGAATGGAGATATTTTGTAGAAGTTTCTAGCAAATGTAAATATTATAAATATTTTTAAAAGCAACTTTTCGAAAAAGTTTTATTTAACTGATGAAAATATAAGAGGCAGCTCACACAAGTAAATTGTTGAAGATGACAAAAATCATTATGTTTAAGATTATGTACACGATGTTCCTTAAATGTCATTGAAGATGAATTTCACGTTTTGCTTGTATGTTGTAGATATGATCATTTAAGGAAAGAATATAATTAACAAAAATACTATTTACATGCAAATAAATATCTTTAATGTGACATGTGAGCATAACGACAATACGAAATATACAGTATATATATCTCTTTATATATCGTGCCATTTTATTAAGAAATAAATCCTTGTAAAACTTTTCAACGTTTCCACATTGAAATGAATTCTATACTAGGGGTCTGTGGCTTCACAGTTACTTGTCATGAATAAACTGAACTGAACTGAACCGAACTGAACTGAACTGAATGTGTTGTGCGACTCATCCTTGATTCATGAAGTACACTGAATGTTTTACACCTAATTATATAGTTAATTATTTACACATTATTCTGTATGCTGTATGCTAACAATGGGACATGACCACATATAAATACCGATCATTTTCCTGACAAAGACAAGGTTCACCGTCACTGCCACACAGATGAACAACGCCAGACCACCCGCAGACCCAACAGCAACATACAGGTTGCACTCTATAAAACACACCAATGCAGTCATATGAGTGAGTGAGTTAAACTTAAAGTCACATCGGCAGTTTTTCAGCCATTTTGTATCTTATATCTTATGCAATCATATCAATAAAGGACAGTAAACAATGTGTAACATATCACAGAATTACATTTAAAACAAGTTGGTACTATCAATACAATATGAACCCGTGCTGTAGATAAACAGCTACACGACAAATATCCATAGTTTAGTGGATAGAGCGTCTGCCCGGAGATCGGAAGGTCGGTGGTTCGATCCCCGGCCACGTCGTACCCTGCCTGGCGCTCGGCAGTAAGGGAGAAGACAAGGGCTGGACGTCGCTGAGTCAGCAAACTGTGTCTGAATGGAGTATTAGTGTTAAACAGCTGCATGGTATCTTAAAGGGCCAGGACTACAACATCGACATAAGACCGGACTTGTGCAAGGAGCCACACATACACGTTCATACACGTCACAATAATTTTCAAACCACATTTTACAACCTCACCAGCTACCACACGTAGCTCACTTTACAAGGGACTTACGGTACTTTTACGGATCCCCAGTAGGATGTACACCACCAATCTAGCTGCAGGAAATTGTTGACGAGTTAAACCAACATTTATAGGAGGACAACAATTTTACATTACCCCAACCAGAATAATATGAGTGAGTGAGTGAGTGAATATGGTCTTACGCCGATTTTAGCAATATTCCAGCAATATCACGGCGGGGGACACCAGAAATGGGCTTCACACATTGTATCCATGTCGGGAATCGAACCTGGATCTTCGGCGTGATGAGCGAACGCTTTAACCACAAGGCTACCCGACCACCCCATTAATATGAGTGAGTATATCAGACACATTGTGACTAGATTACAAGTTATACATATGCATAAATAATGCATATATAGCTGTCGATGATGAAATTACAAATAGACATATAAAAAGGGTAAATGCATTTTTCTGTTATAAGGGGAGTGTTTCATTTCTTCTTCACCCTCTGCATCAGGCCTGTTCCTCTGATGTAGGTACAAGGAAAGAACAGTTCAGCAACCATGACGTATGATTTTTCCTCAGTACGATTGAACTAGTAACACAGCCACATGAATGAACTGTTCTGAAAATGGATAACATAATTCAATATGTCCTTTTAAAGAAATATTTTCTGAATCACCCGCAGTGTGGAGTTTTCTTCCTCAGATTTGGGTTCATTGGAAGGACAGGGAACAATGAACACAAATTAGTGATTATACAATGACCTTTCTTGTCAATGCCCATACACTATTCATAAAAATAACAACATTTTAGGTTCCCAGGTTCTTGCCATAAAATGAATTGTTTGTGGGTTGCGCATACAAGTGGACTGTTTCAGTTATGTCGTGACAACACACAATCTACATGAATTAGCAAGGGGTATTTTAACCTTACTTTATTTACACTGAATCAGAACACTTTTATATTGATCAAGTGATAGTGTGCAGTGTGTTTCTATGTAAAGTGATTGTCACGTTAGATCCGTGTAAAATCGCTCATTCTGGTATGATGAAGTTGGTTTGATTTACAATCTTCTTCGTACACAAACCTGCTACTTTACCTTCCTTAGTGTCGACTGTAGTGCTGGAAAACATCATCGTCGTCATTTTCTTAGTTTGTTGATCAGTCGTTGATGTAGTGCTGGCTGCAAAGTGGGTGACATACATTGTAGTTTCTACTTCTCTACTGACATACTCCCGTTATGCCTATATTATACACTCTTCAAAAAGAAGAAGAAACGCACAGGTAGTATGTAGTTCATGAACCTGACTGCACCAAATATACGGTATATGAATTGAATACATGTTATTTGAAAATGTTGGTGGCCTGATATTCGACAAACGGTGCGTCAAAACGCCGCCATTGTCGATTTGCAATGTCTTTAACAGCATAGTTTTCACACCTGTTCAAAAATTTCATGGAGGGAACCAGTAAAGCAAAACGCACGTGCAAGTTATGGCATTCGTAAATCGTGGTAGTGAACTATAAAAAAGCAAGCATAAGCCAATACCTTGTCATTAGTTCGAAAATGTCAAGACTCGGCGCTGCCGATCAGAGTATCCAAAGAGGGGAATCGCAGTTTTCTGTTGCACACCACTTCAACGTCCACCACAGCACCATTTACCGCCTTTGTGACCGATAAACGCAATTCAATTCGACTGCATACCGTCCGAAAACCGGCCGACCAAGAGTTACCATCCCTGCACAGGAACGCTACATTCGACTGTTCCACCCACGTCGTCGCAATGCCACAGCTACGGAGACTGCAGGACGCACCCCTGGTTTGTGGAGGATATGGTACCAGACTGTCAGGAACCATCTTTGCGAGGCTGAAATCCGACCCAGAAGACCAGTTATCATCCTTGTTTTGCAACAGATCCATCGACAGCAACGCTTGCATTGGTGCCATATTTTACAGCCTTTGGATTTGAAAAACTGGAGACGAGTGCGGTTTAGCGATGAATCACGATTCCTTCTTCACCGGCGAGATGGAAGGCGGCGAAATGAGCGTTTTGTGTACGTGAATTGGACAATTCCGGTGGCGGTAGTGTCATGATGTGTGTGTGTGTGTGGGGGGGGGGGGGGGGGGGGGGGGGGGGGATATCCTACACCCAGAGATTGGTTGTGGTTCAGAGAAATTTGACTGCAAATTGCTACATGAGTCAAATTCTTTAACCTTACCTTCTTCCAATCATTGACCGCCAGAGGAAGCTGTTTCAACGGGACAATGCGGTAGACTACCTCAAAAATGCCAAAATCAATGTCTTGCCCTGGCCGTCAAGATCTCCAGATCTCAACCCAATCGAACACCTCTGGGATAAACTCGATCGACGTGTACGTCAACGTCAGAACACGCCGCAGACACTCGCACAACTGGCCACCGCGTTACAAGCAGAATGGCGCAGAATTCCACAGGACAGATTTCGTACACTTATCCAGTCAGTGCCGAGGAGATGCAGACCATGAGTGCTGCCCGGTGCGGTCACACGAGAGTCCAGCGCAACCTTGTGGCCTTATGTGACATGACAATGAACAGTTTTCAATGCCTTTGTACAACGACAACATGTGACTATTGAGCTCCAAATTTCATATTTGTATCTTTGATATTCAATTAAATATATCGACTTGAAAAGGTACAATAAATTGACTAAAAATCTACCTGTGCGGTTCTTTTTTTGAAGAGTGTATATTATTCTCCATATCCCATGAGAAATGAAGGTTCATTCTCCAGTGAACTCACACAAATAAAAATCTATTCTAATTTATCTAAATAACGTTACTTGGTACATCGAAGGAGATGTATTGATGTGGCGAATATAGCAATGATGTTTTAAATTCAGTTATTCAGACCAATGTATTTGACTAAAATGTATATACAATAATAAACATAAACACTTACTGGTTGGACATTTTGTCATGGGAATGGTGCTTGATCTGTCACTGCTATCTGAAAAACAGAATTACACATATGTGCGTTGTTATGGGAAATAGAGCAATATCAATAAGCTGTGTATATTACATAAACGTAGCTGGAACTAATTTATTATACCAGAATTTATAAGTTTAATGAGATCAAATGGTAACTTCAGAGGACGTATGGCTTTCCTGATCACCCATTGGTCGATTGACATAATGGTTGAGACAAGATAATCTTGCTAGAGAACGGTTTGTGATGGGTTGTAGCATTATGCTTGAATACAGGCATGCAGTCCTACACAACGACTTTTTCAAATTTTCTACACTCTCAGTTTAATATAATGCATGCTATGGAATTCCCTAGGTATATCTAATCAGTCGTTTGTTAAAATACCTAAAATATCAATACATGGAAAACATATCAATGTGTTAAATGTGCCGTCCGTACGTTCGTCGACACCAGTTTCGCGGTCATGTTGTCGGCCTCTGGTCCGATGGAAAAACATTTTTTTTCAAACATTTTTTTTAATAATTTCAGTTGCTGCACTAATATGATGTATCCCATTGAGAAAGAAGTTCCGGGTCGCGAGTATCTTCAACAGTCGTCGAAGTTTATACGCAAATTTGATTCCATGGCAACCAGTCATAATCGGGAAATAGGATAACACACAATGTGTATTTAGTCGATACAACAGTAAAGCTACGCCGTCATCGATATGTTCATAATTCGTTCATAAGGTCACCAATTAAACCATACATACGTATTATTACAATGTTTCTGTGGATAGGTCTAAACCTCGATTTGGTAATGATTTAGCACTGTTACGATGAAAATTGTAATAAAAAGGTAAATTGTAATACTTGCAGCGAATTGTAATAATTTTGACGTAAATTGTAAGAACAACGTAAATTGTAACAATATTTGACGTAAATTGAAATACGCAAATTGTAATAAAAATTGACGTAAATTGTAATAACCTTACTACCGTAGTGTCCAAGACGCCAATTGACTAGAAATGATCTTTGTCAGTTGAGCTTGCGTTTCACATGTACAATTCGAGAAATACTGTGTATGATGACAAACGTACAAAACTGTTAAGTTAGGGATGGTTGGTATAGGCTTTATCGTACAATCGTCATTAAAGGTTGGTGTGAACATCGATAAATTTAAATGACTGAAAGATCCATCCTCGGGTTCAAAATGATGGGTTACACAACCGTATATTCGACAAATAACTTAATTGTGACATATTGTTCAATACTCTTATAAGGCTATTCAAGATGTTTTTTGCATGACTTGCTTCAACAGTACGTTGACCAGCTCGACACGACTGAACGAGTGATGACGAAGGGTACAAACACAGGCTGGTCAACCAGTGTGTCGATTTGAAGTGGAAACGCTATACGAGTTAATAAGGAGTACATGATCCTTTTCTTGAAACAAACGGGGGAATTTAATCATATTTATACAATTCATTTTATTTTGACGAAGAATTTAAATACATCAAATGAGTTGACAGATCCGTGCATACACAAATAACATCCGGTTTCTTCGGATAACTCTTGTACAGTTTCAAAGAGTATACGAATTATCATAAATTTCTTGCAATCAATTGCTGAAATATATCTGCTTGTATCCAAATAGAAAGGAATTGAAAATTTATAATGAAAATATGTTTGTCACTAAAGTAAATTTGCTCTTTGACCTTGAAACGTACTTGAAGATCATTAAACTCGACAATCGTTGGTGGATTGCGCCAAGAAACCTTGATACGAAATATATACGTACAATAATCCCCTGAAAACATAACCTCCTCTGAAAGATTAAGAGGATTAAAGTAATTTGGGCTAACATCAAGCACTGTAATAACATACTCTCTTAAAATTCCAATGAAATGACTGGTTACTTACCAAAAAGTCAAATTATATTTTGCTCCGATTTTTTTACCTAGTTTTAATTGCCTACCCTTATCACTTTTTTTCTGAAATTGAGTTTAAACTTCTAAATTTGAGACTGCAATATATGTCTTCAGAGGGTATTTCATATACTATGTAACAACTGTTTTACCCCATTTCAAATTTGGTTTCATGCTGAATCGCTCTTTTTAACTACTGCTAACACACTCTACATGCAAGGAAAGCATCCCAAACATATATTTATATATATAAATACAATGCGTTGATAACCACGTACTTAACCTACAGAAATATTACTCCAGTGAGTTTATATATATACAACAATGTTCGATATATCAAGTTTCAAAAAGTTCTCACACCCCACACTAATTCTTATTTATTGGAAGTGATGTAATGTTTGTGGCATGCTATCATCTACGTAGAAGATACTACCATCTGCGTAGAAAATACTATCATCTACGTAGAAGATACTATCATCTACGTAGAAGATACTTTCATCTACGTATATGAAAGTATCTTCTACGTAGATGATAGTATGCCATCTAGATACTATCGTCCACTTACATACTTTCATCTACGTACATGATACTGTCATCTAGAGTATGTAGAAGTGCAGTCACGTGTGATACCAATGACATAGAGCTCACATTTACTGTCATTACATACACACCTACATGCGCGCACGCACACACACACACACACACACACACACACAAACGCACGCACGCACACACACACACACACACACACACACACACACACACACACACACACACACACACACACACACACACACACACACATATACATACATATATACATACATACATACATATATACATACATACATACATACATACATACTGGTTTGATAAAGAATGTGGTTATCACAGAAGAGAAGCCTTCCGACTACTCGATGTTTTTAATAGGAAAAAGGATAATGATTCGTAACAAGCCTATTCACTGCAGCGTAAAACATATATGGATATCATAAGGTGTAAGAAAAGAGTTTTTAATGATTTGATTCGTGACAGACTTCTTATCCAATATCAATAACTGCAAAACATTTTGGGAAATGTTAAGAAAATACACTGGTGTTGAAGAAAGGGAATCATCTATCCCCATTAGTGACTGGTTTTCGCATTTTAAAAACATATTCCAAGATGTGCATACCGTTTTCTCTCATGATACTATAGAAGATGGTGTAAATTATCCTTTTGATGATGTCTATCCTTGACAGCCGTATAACTGAAGACGAGGTGTTGCAAGCTATCAATCAATTAAAAAACTGTAAGGTGCCAGGAAATGATTCTCTTATTTCTGAATTTTTCAAAGCATCAAGTGATTTAATAGTACCATACCTAACAACCTTGTTTAACATTTTATTTGAAAATGGTTCGTTTCCCGAGTCGTGGTGTACTGGTGTTATCATACCTCCGCATAAGAAGGGCGATTACTCAAACCCCAATAACTACCGTGGTATCTCCTTGCTCAGCACTTTTTGTAAACTTTATGTATCTGTACTTAATTCAAGACGTACGTTCTGGTCTGATGCGTATGATAAAATTTGTGACTCCCAAGCTGGTTTTAGGAAAGGTTATAGTACTATTGATAATATATTTATTCTGCAGTCTGTAATCCAGCATTATCTGTCTAAGAAGCGTGGTAAATTATATGTTCTTTTTGTTGACTCTAAAAAGGCTTTCGATTTTGTAAATAGATCTAAACTATGGTTAGTTCTTAAATTCAGAGGTGTGTCCCAAAAAATGTTAAATGCATTAGAATCCATCTATTCCTGTGTTAAAAGCTGTGTTAAGATCAGAAATTGTTTTACAGGATGTTTTGATTGCCCTCTAGGACTTCGGCAAGGCTGCGTAATGAGTCCATTTTTATTTTCTATCATTATAAACGACTTAGTTTTGTATATAGAATCAACATGCACTCCAGGTGTCATTAAATCTCTAAAAATGCTTCAACCTCTTCCTTATGATTTGTTTTTCAATTTTTTTAATTCTAAAATATCTCCAATTCTTTTATACGGTGCCGAGATTTGGGGTGTAGATACTTACAAAGAATAAGAGCAAATCCAGGTACTAGCATGTAAACGGGTTAAACAATCTTCATCAAATCATGTGGTTAGGGGGGAATGCGGAAGGTATCCTATGTACATATGTGCTTATAAGCGTGTAGTTACTTATTGGTACAGAATTTTACATTTGCCTGAAAATAGATTAGTTAAGAAATGTTATAGATTATTATTACTTGATGTTAATAATGGTAAGATCAACTGGGTCTCTAAAATCAAACACATTCTCTGTTCCTCTGTTCGTTTGGTTTTGGCTACCTATGGGAGATGCAATTTATTAATAATAGTAGAAGTTTTATCTTGGAATTTGTAAACCGTTTAAAAGCCTCGTCTGAGCAAGATTGGCATGCATCTGTTTTATCAAGCACTAAATCCCAAAGTTACTCTCTTTACAAAATTTCATTTGGCTTAGAAAGCTATATCAAAGAAGTAAATGTTTCAAAATTCAGAGCTGCACTTGCTCAGTTGAGATGCTCCCCCCATTGGCTGTGAATTGAGACCGGTTGATATATTAAGGAAATTAGAGAACAGAGACTGTGTTTGATTTGTAACCAGAATTTTATTGAGAACGAATATCATTTTGTGCTTATATGCAATGCTTATAGTGATTTAAGAGCTGAATACATTCCTCCTAAATATTTTACAACCCCTTCTTATTGAGAACGAATATCATTTTGTGCTTATATGCAATGCTTATAGTGATTTAAGAGCTGAATACATTCCTCCTAAATATTTTACAACCCCTTCTAAAAATAAATTTAATGCTCTTATGTCATCCACTAACTTTAAAATCATACGAAATCTAGCAGTCTACGTTTATAAAGCTTTTCGACTTCGTTCATTACATACACTCTAAATATTTATTTGTATATATGCATGCGTATGTGTATGAATGTGTATGGATATGGATATGTATGTAAAATAGTGGTAATTCTTTTTTCTCCCTCTCTCTGTAAATATTTCTGTGTAATAGGCCTACGACCTAACACTTTTTGTGAATAAACAATTACAACAAAATTACAACATAC